CTGCTGCTGCTGTTGCTGCTGCTGTTGCTGCTGTTGCTGCTGCTGCTGTTGCTGCTGCTGCTGCTGCTGCAGGTTTACAGAGGTATCTATAATAGCTGGGGATTGGGCCGCCTTAGATGGAGATGCAGTGGAGTGTCTGCGTCGGTGCCGCAGCTGCAGCAGCAGCAGATCTCAAAGAGCAGCAGCAGCAGCAGCAGCAGCAGCAAGGGGTTCTGCTGCAGCAGGCTCAGCAGCAGCATGGCAGCAGCATGTAGCTATGCAGCAGCTGCTGCGGCGCGCGCTGCTCGATAGACTGGGGCGAGCTGTGGGGAGACTCATAGATCTAAGCCAGGAACACTTCAGAGAAAAAATACTCTTCTTTCTTCAGGTCTGCTGCTGCTGCTGCTGCTGCTGCTGCTGCTGCTGCTGCTGTTGATGCTGCTGTTGGTGCTGCTGGTGGTGATGGTGGTGGTGGTGGTGCTGCTGCTGCTGGTGGTGGTGGTGGTGGTGCTGCTGCTGTTGATGCTGCTGCTGGTGCTGTGGATGAGGTTGTTGCTGCTGCTGCTGCTGTTGATGCAGCTGCTGTTGATGCTGCTGCTGCTGTTGATGCTGCTGCCGCTGCTGCTGTTGATGCTGCTGCTGTTGATGCTGCTGCTGCTGTTGATGCTGCTGCTGCTGTTGATGCTGCTGCTGCTGTTGATGCTGCTGCTGCTGTTGATGCTGCTGCTGCTGTGTGTCTCAGGCCGCCAGCGAGAACTCAGCTGTAGCTACCTGGGTGGCCTTCGGGGTGGTGCAGCAGTCTGTGCTGCACTCTGTTGTTGTTGTGAGTTTGCTGCTGCTGCTGCTGCTGCTGCTGCTGCTGCCACTGTTGCTGCTGCTGCTGCCACTGTTGCTGCTGCTGCTGCTGCTGCTGCTGCTGCTGCTGGTAGTCTTTTTCTGTCTCTCTTTCTCTACGTTGGCTAGTTTTTTATTTAATTATGTTTGCTGCTGCTGCTGCTGCTGCTGCTGCCGCTCTTTTTCTGTCTCTCTTTCTTTCACCATCTATATATCTATCTAGCTAGCTATCTATCTATCTAGCTATCTATCTATCCATCTATCTATCTAGCTAGCTAGCTAGCTAGCTAGCTAGCTAGCTATCCCTCAAAAATTTTTATTTGTTATATAGTTGCTTTGGTGTGTGTGCTGCTGCAGGCATCTCACCTGCTGTCTTTTGCTGAGTCTATAAGCCCCCTATCTCCTCCTTCTCCTTTTTGGTTAGCCCCGACAGCAGCAACAGCAGCAGCAGGATCTCTGCTGCTGCTGCCGTGTTTGAGTGCAGCAGCAGCACTGCCACCGTCACCGCAGCCGCTGCTGCTTGCTGCTGTTAGCAGCAAGACAGACGAAGAGATACCCCCATACATTAGAGCTGTGCTGCTGTGCCCTGCTGCTGCTGCTTTTCTTCCTGCTGCTGCACAACATGCAAAGCTGCAGCTGCTGCTGCTGCTGCGGGAGCTACGAAGACAGCAGACGATCGTGGAGCAGCAGCTGCAGCAGCTGCAGCAGCAGGGAGGAGGAGCCGCACCTGCTGCTGCAGCAGACCCAGCAGCAGCACAACAAGAAGCAGCAGCAGCAGCAGCAGCAGCAGAAGCAACAGCAGCAGCAACAGCAGCAACAGCAGCAGGAATGGATGTTCCTCATCCTTGTGCAACATTTGCAGAGTTGCTGCTAGCAGCAGCAGCAGCAACAGCAGCAGCAACATATCGAGAGATGGATGCAGCAGATGCTGGCTGCCCCGTACGTCGTTGTGCTGCTGCTTCCTTCATTCCCAGCAGCAGCAGCAGCTTGCTGATCCGCTGCAGAGCTCAACGTTGTTTCTTTGCTGTGTGCAACGACCCCACATATTTCTTGTTGCTGCTGCAGCAGCTGCAGCAGCAGCAGCGTGAGCTGCAGATACGCTGCTGGCTGGGCCCCTATATAGAAGACATCAGCAGCAAGGGGAGATATGTTTCTCCCCCTTCGCTGCAGCAGCTGCTGCTGCTGCTGCCCCTGAAGCAGCAGTATTGTGTGTTGAGAGAGCGGCAGCAGTTTGTGCTGCAGCAGCTGCGTCTTGCTGCTGCTTGGCGTGTGTCTCCGTTGCTGCTAACAAGAGATGCAGAGGTCTGCTGCAGCAGCAGCAGCAGCTTCAGCAGCAGCGGTGCTGCTGTTCGTATACGCAGCACCATCACACAACCAAGCAAAGCCCAAGACAACGCGGGGCATCTCCCGCTGCTGCTGGCTGTCTCCTATCCTTCTGTCTCCCCGCTGCAGCTGCCGCAGCTAGCTGACGAGCAGCAGCAGAGTTCTGCTGCTGCACAGGATGCTGCTCAAGCAGACTTGCTAGCTGAAGCAGCAGCAGCAGCAGCAGCTGCTGCTGCTGCTGTAGGACAAGATACAGATGAGCTGCTGCTACTTGCGAGAGGAGACACAGAAGAAGCAGACTTGCTGCTGGGTTCATCAAGCACAGCAGCAGCAGCAGCAGCAGCAGGAGGTGCAGCAGCAGCAGCTGCTGCTGCTGGTGGTGTTACTGTTGCTGCTCCCCTGCGGTTGTGCAAGGCAGCAAGAACAGATTCAGAAACCAGCAGCAGCAGCAGCAGCAGCAGCAGCAGCAG